TAAGTTTGCAGATGATACCAAACTGGGTGGGGTTGCGACTTCTTTGGAGGATAGGGACATAATTCAGAATGACCTTAGCAAGTTAGAGAAATGGTCGGAGGTAAACAGGATGAGGTTTAATAGAGAGAAATGCAAAGTGCTCCACTTAGGAAGGAACAATCAGTTCCATACATACAAGATGGGAAGCGACTGTCTAGGAAGGAGCATGGCGGAAAGGGATCTAGGGGTCATAGTGGACCACAAGTTGAATATGAGTCAACAGTGTGATGCTGTTGCAAAAAAAGCAAATATGATTCTAGGTTGTATCAACAGGTGTGTTGTAAGCAAAACTCGTGAAGTCATTCTGCCGCTCTACTCTGCGCTAGTTAGGCCTCAGCTGGAGTACTGTGTCCAGTTCTGGGCGCCACATTTCAAGAAAGATGTGGAGACATTGGAAAGGGTACAGAGAAGAGCGACAAGAATGATTAAAGGTTTAGAGAACATGACCTATGAAGCCAGGCTTCATGAACTGGGCTTGTTTAGTTTGGAAAAAAGAAGATTAAGGGGGGGACATGATAGCGGTTTTCAAATATCTAAAAGGGTGTCACAAGGAGGAAGGAGAAAATTTGTTCCTCTTGGTTTCTGAGGACAGGACAAGGAGTAATGGGCTTAAAGTGCAGCAGGGGAGGTTTAGATTGGACATTAGGAAAAAATTCCTAACAGTCAGGGTGGTCAAATATTGGAATAAATTGCCAAGGGAGGTGGTGGAATCTCCCTCTCTGGAGATATTTAAGAACAGGTTAGATAGACATCTGTCAGGGATGGTGTAGGTGGAGCTTGGTCCTGCCTTGAGGGCGGGGGGCTGGACTCGATGACCTCTTGAGGTCCCTTCCAGTCCTATTATTCTATGATTCTATGAATAGGAAATCATTCAACCTTTGACAACATATTTGAATGCATAAGCCAAGAAACAAAAGACTAATATTATCTCTATATTGGTTGATGTAACTAAGGAAGTTAAGTAAAGCAGTTGTGATATTATTTACATAACACTTTATATGAAATGTTTTGATTTCCATCCTACTGAGTCACTGGATGCACAATCAGCCTGCCAGCAGCCCCCCCCCAGGAGGAGGTGGGGGGAAAGGAGGCAGAGCAGGAGCCAATAGCCCTGTGCCCAGGGGGAGGAGCACAAGAGCTGTGACACTGCATGCTGCTTCTTTCTACACTAGAACTTCAGAATTGCGTACATCAGATTGTTTGCAACTCTGAACAAGCAATTATAGAGGCTCTTCACAGGGGACTGCTTGCAACAGGGGTTCCGAGTGCCTGGTGAATGGGGGTGGGGACAGATAGCTAGTTGTAGCTCCCTGGCCACAAGGGTGAGGAGACATTTGAGGCATAGCAGCATCAGTGGGCATGCAGTCAGTGCAGGCTATGGCCCTTCACGGAACTGCTCCTCCAGAGTGCAGCATGGAGGCAGGAGCTCAGACTCTGACAGCTTACATTCCAGGACAGTTTTCAGTACCAGCTTGGGACATTTTTTCTTGGGCTCTGAACCTGCAAGCTTGTCTCCCCTCCCAGAGGGGAAGAGGGGACAGAAAGGAAAAAAGAGAAAACAGCATTCACCACCTCCTCTTTGTAAATGGCTGCCCCTTATGTTGTGAGCAGCGGGTGGAGACAGGCAGCCCATATGTACCTGCCTTTAAGGTGCAAAAGGCACAATACAGTATTTGCTTTTTTTTTGCCTCCACTGCTGCCTGATAGCTTACTTCTGGTTTTGTTGACCAGTAAGTTTAACTCTGGTGCTCACATCTTTGAGGTTCCACAGTATTTTGCTAGGGTCACTGATAAAACCATGCATCTCTGCCATGTATACATGGCTGGAGTCTCAAGATGGGTCAATCCTTTATCTGTATGAAGTACAGAATATGCTTAAACTTTACATAAGGAATTACTCTGTTCCCATAGCCATGAGAGCATATGCTTCTCCAGAGAAGGATAAAAAAATGCTATATTTGTACTCTAGATGACCCCTTAGGAGAGTTCTTCTGCAACAGCCCTCTATCAAATATTAAAGAAAATAAAGGAGGTCAACAAAATGGTCAGTTTCAAGGCCAAAAATGTACAAGGTGAAGTGAAAACATCAGAGTAGAACCTCAGCATTACAAACATCTTGGGAATGGCGATTGTGCATAACTCCGATCAAAAAAATTAAGGTTTTCAAAAGTTTACAACTGAACCTTGTTTTAATACTGCTCCCAAACTTTACTACAAAAGAGGGCTGCTTTTAATCTTAATTTAAATGAAACAAGTACAGAACATTTCCTTACCTTGTCACATTTTTAGACACTAGTTTAACACACTGCACTGTATTTGCTTTTTTTGTCTCTGCTGCTTCCTGATGGCATACTTCTGATTCTAAATGAGGTCTGTGATTGACCAGTTACTTCATAGTGCTAGAGGGTCTATGCCATTTTAAATCTATTTTAAAAAAAATAGAGCAATGTTTACAAGCTAATTTTTTAAAGAACTTTGGTGTCCAGATACATTTTATTGTCTATTTCTGTTCTTTAGCTTGCTCAACTCCTATTAGTAAGCTTCTGTCAAACTGTGCTCCAATTACTACCATCACTACATCCAACAAAAATGTAATACTTCAGTATTTTAAAATGCAATATAATTTTTTCCTTATCATTGGCAAATCATTAACAATTGACGGTGGGAAGGAGGCTACATTTCCTTTTACCTGAGAGAGAGGACAAGTAGTATGTGGTAATTTGCAGCAACCACTGCAGTCATTTTGTGTGCGCGCGCATATATTTTAGAATACCACATCTTAGAGGTGGGCAACAATTTGATGGGAGGGGTGCTCTAAGAATTTGGAAAATGGTCAAGGATCGCACTTTTCCATATTAATGGAGGAGGTACAGGGTCTGGGATGGAGGTTGGGTGCAGAAGGGAGCTTGCACTAAGGGACTGGGATGCAGGAGAGGGTGTGGGGTCTGGGAGGGAATTTGGGTGAAGGATGCAATTGTGACCTTGGTTAGGGGATTAGGGTGCAGAGATTTGGGTTGTGACGTTGGGCAGGGGATTAGGGTGTAGGAAATGGAGGAAGGGTTTGGGCTGTGACCTAGGGCAGGATCTGTGAGGGGATGGAGGGGGCAGAGGATTTGGGTTACATGGAGTGGGGCAGAGGGTTGGAGTGCCAGAGCCAGGCTCTGACCAGGAGACTTACTTGCTTTACTCCCAGCCAACAGCCTTGTCAAGGAGACTCCTTGACTGCCCCATCCTCACACAGGCTACAAAAACCACATGGCTCTTGAACAGTGACAAGCTTGAGAGGAGGGTGCTTTGCAAGCTGCCTGTTAACAGGCAGCTCCCATTGGCTAGAAACCAGCTGATGGGATTGTACTGGGGGGCAGGAACACCACATGAAGCTGCTCTTCTCACCCATAGGCTTGCAGCTGTTCAAACAGAGCACGGCAGCGGTTTTGGTAAGCAGCATGCAGGGGCAGGCAGGGAGTCTGCCTGAGGCTCTTTGCTGTGTCCACGGGCCAGATCCAGCTCACGGCAGGTATTATGCCCAGGCCTGCTGTAGATTTACTCATTTGTTTCCCAATGGAAGACACGATACAAATTAGAAACCTGGGATTTCTCTGAAGCTGGAGGAAGGAGGGTTACTGGCAACTTCTCTTTTCCACTTTAACCAGAAATAGTTGGTCACACTGGAATTATGTATACAAGTTAACTGCTACTTTGGTAGGGTTTAATAATAAGTTAAACCAAAGGGAAGTTTCACTACAAGACATGTCTATGTCAAATATTTGGCATGCTCAGGACTATCTGTACCCAGAATATGTCTATTAATGCCAACTGACCACATCTAAAATTTCTCCCAGCTGTGTACAGGCAGTCACAAATTTGATTAGACTTACTTTTTTAATCTTGAAGAGTGCAGAATACAAACTGGACTGACATCACTTAGTGCTGTAATGCACTAAGTTTTATTGTTTTCTTCCTCTGTAGGACCGGCCATTGCTTTGGTGGCTTATCAGATTTATTTTCTGCACTTCACTGCTCTGTGATGAAAGCTATCGAAGCCACTAACCTGTGCATGTAGTACATTACAGGGTATGGTTTTGATTTGTGAGTTAATGATCAGCTTCCTTCGGTCTAAATTGTTCCCATGTCTCAGTGGAAGTCTCTCTCTGAGCATACTATCAGCTGACCTGAAGCCAATATACAACCCCTGGCTAACTATCTGGTGAGATTAGATGACTCAGATAGCTGAAGTTGGTCTGAAGGAAAATTCTGGTGTATGACCACCTGTTTAAGCAGCACAATGAGAAAAGCATGCATAAGAAACCAACAGTACAAAGTTCAAAAAGGTCTAAATATACAGAACCATAGTCAACTTAAGGCTCAGGGTTGACCACGTCCATTTCATAAGAGGTAGACCAAGTCTTCAGTTGGTGAAAGGGAAACTGCTAGAGATATATTGGACCAGTGTGTGTCAACCTTTCTAATCCTTTCAGGGGTCTGATTTTTCTTGATATCCTCTCACCCCACCCCCTTAAGTAGTGTAAAATGTTCAAAATTTTAGTCTGTACTGATTTTGCTAGTGCTTATTATGTAAGCCATCTAGAGGAGTTGATGCACTCCCTTGGAAGACCTCTGCATACTCCAGATATACATATACCCTTGATTGAGAGTCACTGCATTAGACAGTATATTGGCGCCTTAAAAATACAGTGGTAAAGCAGGGGGAAGAACAGTTTCTCTGAAATGGGCAGACTACAGGGACAATCTCAGAAGTGCTAGACTTCCAGTCCAGTCTTGGAGGTGAAGATTTTTTTAAATAGAAAAATCTGCTCCTTTCAATAAAAACTATATTGTTCAGAATAAAATTCCATACAAGTCAAGAGTAGACAGAACTGCCGTCTAATAAAATTCAAAAGAATAAGTAATCACTGAAGACAGGTTAGATATACAGAATAGAATGGTAAAAGGAGACTTGCCTGGCAGTTGAAGTAAATATCTATATGGCTCTAGAAGAATTCTTTCAGATGTTTCTTCCCTTCCTTCCATTTCAAGAAGCAGTGTTCCACTCTGTCAAAGAAAGGAGAGGTCTATCAAAATCAGTGTTAGAGAATTTTTAAAATATATAATGGAAGCAAGACCATAGCTCTAAGCAAGTGGGGTGGGGGAGAGATAAGCAGGGTTAAGGGATTTAGAACAAAGGCTGACTTGAAAGTGTTACTGGAAAGAAAGCCATCATTTCCCAGCTATCTTTGCATTACAAAAGTATTCTTGCTGTTGGCTTTATATACTTTAACCACACATTTTCAAAACAGGGGAACTTTGTTTTGATTTTTATGAAAGCAAACCAAACATTTCAGTTTAAGATCATTAAATAAGCGTAGAGTCTGGCTTTGATGTCTGGTCTTATAGAATCCCACACACATCAAGCATCCTTTTGTAGATCATTACAAAAGTTAGTCAGAAAAATTCAAATTCTAAACTGTTTAAGCTCAGAAATACACATTTAGTCTTATTTTTAATCAAGAAACAGACAACTTCAATGTAAGGCATACTTTAAAACAAAAACACTCAAGATTTAACTTACTCATTCTTCCATATTTGCTTTAAAATGTATACCATTCAACTGATTTAAAAGACTAGAACATAGCAGATAAGTGTTTAGTTTTCTTTATCCTTATTTTTTCCTGCCATGGTATTCCATTCGTGTCTCAAATTCTCTTACTGTGGCCAATTCTGAATTTGTTTGCCTGCATAGCTTATTTGTCTTCTAATGTTCATTTCTCAGTTCATGACTTTAGGCTCAATTTCTGTGGCTTTTTTCAGAGTTCCTTCAGTAATCCATTTTCCTTCTTCTCACCTTTAACCTCTTTTGCTGCACTGCAGATGGAACAGCTCAAAACTCAATGTTTTTAATGTCATTTGAAGACTGGAACTGCAGTGGTAGTATGAAGTTTCATTTACTTCAGCAGCAGCCCTCGACTGTTAAGAAGGTATCTTGTAAGGAGTGTTTTGCCCTGGCAACTGGTGAAGAATGTCCTTGGCTGTCAGCCCAAAGGCTTGCTGCTAGACTTATAAATGTAATATCCTTTTTTGGAAAATAGGCACATTAAGACGAGAGATAAGTTTTTTGCTAAAATGTAAATGTATCCCATTTACTATTTCCAGACTGTCTTCCTAGATGACTCTTAGAAACAGTTCTCCCCCCCCCACCCTCAAAGACATGCATTACTACAACAACACACACACACACACACTCACACACACACACACACACACGTATTGACTTCTGTTAACGGACAGTGTTAACGGACAGGCAATCCAGACTGCAACACTTTTCCCTGCACTGAAAACAGTACCTTGCACCACCATTAATCACACTAAATTAATTGGGACTACTTGAAAAGTAAGGATAACACAAAGTGCAGCAAAATAAAGGATACAACCGGTAATGAAAGAGAGAGACCAGAAAAAAAAAAAAGGTGACAAAGGGAGAGCCTAGAAAGGCAAGAACTGAATTATAAGATGCTATGAGTTTCATCATTGCCCAAAAAAAAACAAAAAAAAAAAAAACAAAAAAACCCCACACAAACCACCACCCAAAACTGTAGTCAAATGACTATCCAACACATTCTTTCTGTAAAAGCTTAGGCAAAAACTAAGATTCTGAAGTCTGTTAATTTCATAGAATTTGAAACTTGAGATTTTTCCCAAATGCTTCCAAAGACTATACAATCCACTTTGTGTACAGTATAAACTTGTGCTACTGTATGCATATTTGGTATTTTCTATAAAGGAAAATTTCTAGAAATAAAACAACAATTTTCTCAATATGAAGTTCTCTGAAAGAAGACATATAGGTTTACCTTCTCTCCAATGCGGATTAAGATATTGTTTTCTGATGCCTTACGAAGTTCTCAATTCAGAGACAAGGTATTTAGAAATTCCTACTCATAGTGGGGCCACTCGCTACAGAAGAACTTTAAACTGCTACATACATGTCCAATCCCAAATCTCCCTACCCTTTCACAACAAAAGCTCATTAGTTAAGTGTTTCCAATACTCATACTACTCTAAATCACTGGTGGCCCATAAAAAAAGATGCCACTGCCACTCTTTTTCCAGGCACTTCTTACAGGCATTCAGACTAGAATTGACAAAATGGTCGAGTAAAGTGTCAATAGATCACATACTGTTATATATTACAGTAAGAATACACCAACACAGGCAGTGGCCTACCCTTTTGACTGCACCCTAGTGCCATTCTTCAGAACTCCACAGCATTTTACATTTTCTTGAATTAAAAAAAACTCACTTATTAGCATAAGACTAAAATTAATCCTATAGAAAGTCAGCCTTCTCATTTGGTGCTACTCTAATAATTAAAACATTTTTATCTTTAACAATATTTGACCAATTATTTTGGACCAGTCCAATCCTACACTGGACTGATTTGTCGAGAAAAGACAAAATCCTATAAAAGCAGCTAAAAATAAAAGGCAACCTAGCTACTTAAAGAGAAAAACAGGAACTGCTAGTCAATTCCACAAAAAGAGTCCCTTCAAGGAGGGAAACAAAATAGTCAGGCAACAGATCCACTGCAAAAGGGTTAGGTGACAAGTCAACATCCAGGTAGGAGAATGAAGAACAAAGTGACAAGGCAGTCTGTGTAGGGGAAATGGGCAAAAGTTAGACAACAGAATCATGTCTTCATGCACAAGATAGCAGAGAAACTTGTTGCTCTCTTTTGGTCTGTGTACACTAGAAACTCGAGTGCGCAGATGAAGATTTAAACCAAATTCCCCACCCTGCCCATAACACTAGTCTCATCTTCGTACAATACTATCATTCTCCCCCTGCCCTCCTCATGTGAGCTGATCAAACTGCCATTAAGAAGTTATGCAAGTGCAAACAAAATATGAAGAGATCTATGAAACTTCTTCTATGAACATATAATCCACAATATGAAGGAGCTTCAAAATCTGCAATAAAGGAATAAAGATTTTTTTTTAAATTAACCATATTTCAATGGGAAAAGGTCAAGTAGTAAAACAAGGTCTCAGTCAGCCTCATGTAACCTATCTACCAACACATCTCAGGGTCACTAAATTAAATATGATCAAACTAAGGCCGCTTTACTTCTGAGTGAGAGCACACACAGTGATTTAACATGCTGGCTGCAATCAACAGATGGTATGAATTTATGTTACATCAATACCAAGAAGAGTAAAAAAAGTGGAAGATGAGCATTCAGAACAAATACTGTTAAAAAAATGAAGGAATCAAAAAAGACACAAAAGTTCTTGAATTGCCTCTACACTCATGCTGAGAGCCAGGATAACAAAGGAATAAATCTGGAATTGCTCATTTTTAGCACAATTTTAATCTATTTGGTATTACAGGTTGAACTTCTGTTAACCAGGACTCCCTGGTCCAACATCGATCGTCTGACAGGACCAGGAGCCCAGTGCGCCTGCAGCAGGGCTCCCCACAGCAGGGCAAAGAGCCTGGCATGACAGTGGGGCAGGGAGGTAGCCAGGAGGCTGGCGGGCAATCTAGGGCTGGAGGGTTCCAGTAGCATGGGGCAGATATTTCTCTCCCTGGCCTGACAAAATCCCTCATCTGGGACCTGTAAGTTCCCGAGGATGTCAGACCAAGGAGGTCCAACCTATACTGAAAAGTGATGGGATTATTTGCATAACTGGAGTGTTAAAATAGTTACAATATATTTAAGGATAGAATGGACAAAGAAGAGAGGGGATGGCACTACTTCGAAGATGAGTCACTTAACTTATAAGTCAGAACACAGTGATCTTTAATGCTTATTAATCATGACCCAAGAAAGCACGAGATGGGGTTAACAGTTAGTGTCTGGTATCGACCACAAAAATCACATTAAGAAACAGGATGGACACCTTATGAATCTATTTATAATATTTGAGGGAAAAAAAGGTGAATGCTCACAGGGAAAGTCAATTTGGCCAGAAGTCTCATGAGTCCCATAATAAAACTTTCTTGTAACCTCTAAACATCACAGATGATTTCCTAATTCAAAATGCATTGAAGCCAACACATGGAAATTAGATAAAGAACGAACTGACCATAGCACTAATATTAATGGTAGCTTAAGTATAAGGGAATATAACTATACCTAAAAATCCAGATCAGTAATATAGCTTATTGTGAAACTTGCCCTATTAAAAGCAACAAAGATGAAAAAAATTGAGCCAAATCAGCTGGAAGGAAAAAGTAGAAAAATCACTGATAACTGGAAATCATTTAAGAACACTTTAGTAAATGCTCAAAAAGCCTCAAAGGCACCAGTTCTAGTTAAATTAACTTGTTTACAGGGGGAAGTGAAAGCAGCTATAAATATATTTAACAAGTAAAAGAAAGGGGAAATTGATAACGAATACAAAGCAGAAGTTAGAAATTGTCCTTTAGCTTCCTTTATCAGCTTTCTACAAAGTTAAAAAAATAATCAATGGGCAACAGAGTTAAGGACAATAAAGTAATGGTAACGTTCCATTACCAGAATAATTAATACTACAGAAAAGAAACGGAGTAGAATAAATATATGTTCTATACATGAGCAAGG